CTTCAGGCCTGGAATAACCATCTGTCAAGAGTATGACAGTATGTGTCGTGGGACCAATATCAAACGGCCACCCCCCAAGGCTCGGTGATAAATTTCCCGATGGAAACACAGCGAGGATCATATTCCATGGGTCTCGGGATTTTTACTAGTCCATCATAAAGCCACAACAGAAACTGGTGTTAGTTTCCCAGGCTGTCGATGTAAACAAGAACGTGCTGTTAGTCAACTTTTGTTGTTATGAGGGTTAAAAATGTGTTTGTGTTCACTTGTGGAAAAAGCACAGTGGTGTGCGTCCAAAAAAAAAAACTGGCACCCTTGAAGATAAGGAGGTAAAATCTTGAAATACAAGAGTGCAAGAGTGTTGTATGGTTGAAACTACTTGTTTCACACATGCGGAAAAACATTTAAAGACCTTTGAGAGAGGGTGAAATTTCAACTTTTTTATGTCTTTAAAAATGCCTTTTTAAAAAGGAATCTGAAATCAGTGCTTTGTATGACTTTTAAAACTCACAGATAGCCTGTGTGTTTAACTAGAAAGCGGATCAGGCACAAAGAACCCCCCCCCCCCCCAAAAAAAAAAAAAGTTGGATGAAAGTGACATAACCAGAATAGGAGGGGTTTTATGGTCGACTTCTGCCCCTGAACGTATTCATATAGTTCCCGTTACAACTGCCAGAATATGTAGTGGTTGAAAGGGGGTGGAGGGAAGGGGGGGAATCAGATTCTCGACTGCTCTCCATCAGAGGCAGGAAGGACAAAAACCTCCTCTCTCTGTGCCAACATTCCACGGCCCAAAGGGATTTTATAGACCAGCGGACAGCAATGCAGGAACCATTATTACATCCTAGTGATACTATTTATCATGCTCCCTCTTTCCCTCCCTGCTTTCCCCACGTTCCTTTCACCACACAGGCTTTCACTGCACCCCATCATGCAAAAGAGACAAAAAAAACTTCCTTAAAAAAAAAAAAAACCTGGCTCATTCTCGTGCAAATGACATTTTGGGGGGGGGGGGGGGGGGGGGGGGGGGCTAAATGCAAAACCAGTGACATACCAACAAGATATAACAAATGGACTCAACCCAGAGGCTCCAAAGGCAACAAGCTGGGGTTTGGTGGTGCAACATGGATTAACTCCCAGCCAAAGAGGATTTTTTCTTTTACCCCGATTAACCACCAAAGTTGTTACCGCAAGCACATTTGGTAAATGAAGATGCTCTGATGCTGCCAATTGAAGTGAAAACCACAAACAGTTTTTTTTTTTTTTACTTTGGCCCATTTACGATTTCCATCCACTACCATTATGCAAATATTAGTTGAAGGAATTTGAAGTCGGTTCAACAAGATTAACAGCTGTTGGTGCTAATTTTCCACTTGAGTGCCATTAAACCATCCAAGCATGACAAGATGATGTCACTGTTTGAGTCACATGCTTCAAGAATGCAGTGTTTCCCACAGAATTAGATTCAGCAGGTTCTGCGCACCCCAAATGACAGGTACACAGAGACAGACGGGGACGGTAAAAACTTTATGGATATCTTGGCGGTCCACCAGCCCACCAATGGCTGCCACAAATAAAATCTCTCTCTTATCAATACTTCAAACTTCAACCAAGATTTTCCCACCAATTTTCATTGTTTCCATTCCATCCAGGTTTTTTAAGCACAAATTAAAAAATGTGCATAAAAACAGGTGGATATAAACACACCCAATCAGTCCGAAAGCTCAGTCTTTCCTTTATGCTTTTTGGTTGAAACACAAAAAGCAGTTACAGTGCTTTTCTATCTTTCACCTTCACCCGATACTTTCCCCTCAAGGTCTTGCAGTGGCTTGTGTTCCCATATGTGGCCAAACATGGGCAGAAAATGCTGAGGCCAGTGGAAAAAAGCCATGAAGAACAGGATTTGTTTGTCCTGGTCTATCTTGGACAAACTGATAAAACTGTATGGCGCTTGGCTGGCTACAGCTCAGCATATCTGACAGAAATCAGAGTGGTTGACTTAAAAACAAAAAAAACTCTACAGTGGGCAGCAAAAGACTTTGTTAAATGAAGCAATAACTTCCCAGAATTAGAAAATGATAAGTCTTCTGGCATCCAGTTGATAAGAAAGCCAACTCAATCCATTGATAAAAACATTCCAATCATGCCTGTGGCTCACCCAAAGAAGCCCTTTTTTGCATTCAGAGCACGCACCATTGTCAGGTAGTAGAAACATTGTTATCGATTAGCTGGGAACGCCAAACCCACATACCAATAATGACCCCAGTGGGTAGAGAGAAGAAAGGGCTGGAAGGAGGGAGAGGAAGGTGGAGGGAAGGATTGCCATAGCTCAGAGGCTAAGTATCCATCAAAGGAAAGTTCAGAAAAGAGAAAGAAAAAAAAGGGGGAGAAAAGCTGCCGAGGTTTACCAAGGAATAACAATTGATCACACGGACAGCAAGGGACAGAGGAACCAAAAGCTAAAACCTGCAGAGTAAAATCTCATTTAAGGGGCAAAAAAAAAAAAACCTAGAAAAAGAGCACATTTTTGTGGGAAAGCTGTAGGTGTACCCATGCTAGGCTAGGCTAGAGGAGAGCAGTGTCCCTTATGAAAAGGCCCCAGGGCCCTATTGAGATCCCTCCAAGTGTGCAAAATCCCAAAGAGGGCTGGTCAAGGTCACCAAAGGTCACATTCCAGAGGGGAAATCAAAAAAAGGAAGAAGAGAGGGGAGAAGGGAGCGGGAGGGGACAACAAGATGAGGCAGAGTGAGCAAGCAGAAGCTACATGGCTTTGAGGAATGTAACAAATTGTAAAGGCGAGGTGGATCCGACCGACAGTGTGTCATGCCTGAAGACTGCTGAAGTTCACCCCTATAATTGGGGATTAGTGTCCCTAGTATTGCTGGCTCCATCAGGGGAAATTTCCATGTGTCACAGTACGTCACACTGAAGCATGTGACACTCTTGTCTCTGAAATGTTGCTTCTCTTTTAAACCACTTTAAGACTACACTGAATCATAGCTGAGACATGTACTCAAACCTAGAGTGACTAGTGGAGTCAGGCATTTACTGCTTTTCGCCCTTTCAAACCATCTGCACTGACCAACTGCGCTAACTGGGAGGGCAGGGTGCATGTGTTTGTGTGTGGGTGGCATCCTGGTGGCTTTCACTAGCACCCCAGTCATCACAATTAGAAATCAGTATTCAAAAAGCTGTATATATTAAAACTCACAAATTTCCTAAGTTAATTTGTTTAAAAAAAAAAAGAAAAGAAAAGATAAATATTGATGTGTCCTGTATTCTACGTATATGCACTAATTCAGGCCTAAGCAAGCAATACTCACAGGTTTCTAATAATTTGTAACCATCTATGCAACATGAAAAATACAAAGCACAGGTACCAAACAACTGCTTTCTGCTACCATTCTTCAACGATGCAGTGCATGCAGAGGTCCAGACAGGATAAATCAGGCAGAAAATATCTAACTCTTATAGTTTTTTGAGTTATTGGTTTCAACAGGGTGGTTGCCTGTGAGAGGAACCCACCAATTTCAGTAGTGTTTTATAACAATTTCATTTCAGCCCACCAACACCACACACAGACCACATACATACACCCATCCCACTGGGTCAAAGCATGACGTTCTCTGGTGTTTGAATAACAACTCGTTTCGTAAACAGTTAATGAAACTATGTGTGGGTGGCAGAAGAATAGAGGTGCCAGTGCGATGCAGGGTGACATGTGCACCATAAAAATGCTAGAGAACAGAACAGACGTGGTATAACATGGAAAAGCCCACACAAACAGAAAAATCCAAACTGCCAAATTGAGGATAGGGCACACCCTGAAAATAATTACAGCACATAACTCTCAAAAGTCAGGAAACTACACAGGGAAAATTTCCAATGCCTTGTGAAATAACATTTGTCAGCCATCTCCAATTCAGTGACGCTCCTCCACACACAAATTCTTTTGGTGTGAAGTCAGCCTTTTGCTTCTCACAACACAGCAAGACACTTACCAAGACATTTAACTTATCCCCTTTAAGTGGATCCCCAAAGGAGCGTCCACTGCAGAATGTGTAAGACAAAACATTTACAGTTACTTACTGTTATGAGAATTAATTCTCATCTGAAAGTTTTCCAGATTGTTAACTAAGCAGCTGTCAAAGCTAGTATTGCAACAATAAACAGTGTGTTATAGTATCTACACTATCATTATACAATGCTTAGTAATAATCATTAATTATTTTGATAATAATCTGTTTTGTATCATATTAAACTGATTATTTCTAGGCTTTGGACTGTTTCTGGGCACAACAACACGTGAAAACATCATCTTCAACTCGTTTATCAATGTTTTCTGACATTTTATAAACTTAAACGATTAATCAAGAAAATAATTGACTGTTTTTTTTTTTAATTATTATTCTGGGAAGATAAGACACTAAAACCATAACATATGGACCTCCACGGGCTAACATGCATCTACATTTATGGATAGGGATGGAGGAAGGTGTGAGCGGGGTTAAATTAAGTGTATGCCAACTTTCACTGAGGATAATTGATCAAAGAGAGCCAATGGTGTAGAAAAACCAGCCCCAGATGTCCCAGCGATTGAAAAGTGACTTGCCAGCTTCCCCCATCTGGGCCCCATACTGGATAATAGCTGCGGTCTACAGCTGCCTCAGTGTGACCCTCTCCCCCAGACAACACACACTAACACACTGGACTCCCAGCCCCAGGTTGGTAATGAAGCTAGGTAGCTAACAACACCGAGGCTTTGTGGACCATCCAACTTATCAACTTTGAACAATACCAAACATGTTTTTCGTTCGTTTGAGCTTCAGAAAACCGTTAAAAAAAATCTAACGTAAGCACTGCCTTTGAAGTTAAATCAAAGCTATCTGAGTCGCCTTAACGTTAGCCTAGCTTAGCTGGCGTTACCAAGGGAAAAAAACACAACTTTCCAAATTAAACTTTAGCTATTTTTTTCAGAAACGTTTAGTAAAACAACTTACCGACTCTGAGAAAACGGAGGCAGACAGAATCAACACGAGGCAGAGGTTGAGCATGGTTGTCCTTCTAGGTAGCGTTACAGTTACAAAATTAAAAGTAAAGTCTTGATATAAAAGCAGCGATAGCTTTACGGAGATTCAAAACTAAACCAGTGACGTCAATACGTAAATCTTCAGGTAGAGTTGTTTTCGTGTTTGCGTCCCAAAATATAGTCCAACAAAACAATTCAGAGGCTGTCCACCTTTATCACCTTAGCCGTGTCTTCTGATGCTTTTCTTTCCGATGTCTAGTTCACTTTACCAGGGCTCAGCGAGCGCCGCTGCTCTATATAGTCTCTAAACTCTCGACCAATCAGCATCGAGGGACGTGCCGCTCTCCCCCTACCTTCTACACAACTTACGGTAAATCCGTTCAACAAGTGGCCACGCCCCTAGCGGCAACCGAAGGGGAGTTTTTTTTTTTTCAAAATAAATGCATAAACAACGTCATATTTACATTTACATTTACTCCAGGGCTGTGATGAAGTACAATCTTAAAGTACTTGTACTTTATTTGAGTATTTCCATTTCATACTATTTTATGCTTTTATTCCACTTCATTTATTTTCTAAAGCTTTAGCTACTACTTTGTAAATTGTAAATTCAAAAAATTACTACAAAATATAACCAACAAATAAAATGATTTTTTTTATGCCAATACTTTTATACTTTTATTCAAGTAAAATTTTCAATGCAAGACATAACAAAGTATTTCTACACTGTGGTACATCTACCTTTACTTAAGTAAAGGATCACAGTACTTCTATCTATCTATCTATCTATCTATCTATCTATCTATCTATCTATCTATCTATCTATCTATCTATGTTTATTTCAGAAAAATCTAATGTTGCCACCGATTTTTTATTTGACTACATTAATTGCATGATAAGTTAATAATGGGTCGTTTTATAACATGCCATTTGCCAATAATCTGATTGATTTAAGGTGAGTTTTATTTTACCACCACAGAAGGATATACTTAAGTTTAGTCAAAATGTTATGTATAAAAGTATGTTAGAGTTTGTTTATACGTAGTGAAATACACAAGTGAAATCATGGAGTTCGGTAATAATTCCCGTCAGGAATATTTTGCATTGGGTAATGTACCATTTCGTTTTCAGCATGTATTTTTCCGTAAAAGGGAAGCTGGTTGCCTGTGGGGTTTAGTTACTTCACGGAAATTCTTCTGAGTGACGACATCTTCCGGTAAAAAAGTTCCCTCCCCTCCTTCTTCTTCACTCCCCCCCCCCCCCCCCGTCTTTCTCTCTCTCTGCTCTCCACTATTCTTATTCCCACTCGAAAGCAGCTGATTTTACTCTACAGGGCTTATCAGGGGAAACAACGTTAGTCACCGTTTACCTGTTTTCATCTCCCCGGTTCGTTTCACAGCGTGTTGCATCATCGATGTTTTCACTTTTCTTTCGCATCTCGAAGAAATAAACTGTTGTGGTTTTGATTTAGATATCGGCCACGTGACTTACACTGACATTACCTAGGATATTGTTTGTTACAGTTAAAGTACTTTATGATCTGCGAGTCTGTAGTTATAACTGATTATAACCCTAGTGTATTCTAATTGTAAATTGTATTGTCATTGAATAGGACAATTCGTTTTTTTTATTTCTAGTCAGCCTATAGCCTATTATTTATTTATTTCTATTTTCTCGACATGTGGGTTGGGACACAAGGTTTATTTTTTAATTAATCAAATTTTAATATTTTATTGATATTTTGTAATAAATAAATATAAATAAAAACTAAACTTAAATAAAATAAAGTTTAAAATAATCTTGATTAATTAATGGTCAATGATCTTTAGGCGTCTCAATGAACAATTAAGTTATTTTTACCTACATACAGTCAGTATACTGTATATATATATACATATATACATCATGTGGGTCAGGACCCTAAATGGTGGCAATATGTTTTCAGAGTATTCTTTACTGTCATAAATAACCAAAATAAAAATGAATAAAAAATATCTTCTCTGAATTTTTTAAATTTTTATTTACACAAGTAGGCTAAATTGAAATAGAAATAAATACAAAATTAGGGTTCACAGATTTAATGTTTAGATGACAAATCTACATTTAAATCCAGACCATAATAATATGTGGTGCTCTAACAACAGAGGAACATTTACTCTAATGATATTACATTTCTTTAAGGAACAGCATCATAGGATAAACAACATGGACATGTTGTAATATTAGCATACAGTATTTTATTTGATCTACTCCTGATCACTCTGTTCTCATTTCCTCCTCTTTTCTTCTTCTCTCACTTTCTCAGCTCCACTCATCTATCCCTGGAAATGTCCTCCACCAAAGAAGAAAATATAAAACGAAAAGAGTTTTAATATTCCTGATCATAAACTGAAGATGTAAAAATGTTAAATGCATCTTATTCTCTTACATCTGCTCCACCTCTGCTCTCCTTTCCTCCTCTTTTCTTCAATCCTATCATGTCAACACATTTTCATCTCCCGTCTATATGGAGGTAGATTTGTCTCGATGATATCTGTGTGAACAGATTGACAATCAGTGAGTAAATGTATAATCTGTAAATATAAAACACCCGATCTAATCTGATTCTGTCCTGGATCTAAGGGAAGGGCTACAGTTGTAAATGTTTGGAAGATATTCACTAACTTTTCATTTATTTGTAAATTAATTACATGTATACGCAGATCTGTTTTTATTTGTGGAATTTGTTTGATTTATTTGCAGATCTGTTTTATATTTGCAAGATATTTTTTACAAATGTTTTTTTTTTTTTTTATTAGTGGAAGGTCAGATCACATAATTACTCACTGATCGTCAATCTGTTCACACAAATATTACTGATCTGTCCCTCCCCACAAGTTTTCACATCTCATTTCTTCTTCTCTCCTTCATTCTTTTCCTCACTTTCTCTTTCACTTCTCCCTTTCTACACTCTCTTCTTCACTCTTCAAATCAAGACTTCCTCTTCTGTCCTCTCCTCACCCGTTCGCCATTCCTCTCTTCCTGGTTCTTCATCACTTATTTTCCTCCTCTCTCCTCTTAACTTTAGCTTTTCACACCTTTCTCACTCTCCTCATCATTTCTTCACCTATGTCTGCTTCCTCTCCTGCTCCACAGGTTGTCCTGTCCTTTCCCCTCGCTCTCTTACTCATTTTCCGTCATGGATGAAGTGTTCTGCGTTAAGCCCCAATGCTCCGCAAGTCGTCGGGGGACCTATAAACGGCTATTTCCCCACTACAGTACTAATAGAGCTCCATTGATTTGCTGAGACTGAGAGGAAATGACAGCTGAATAAGTTATATTATAAACTTCATATAAGAGTCGGGGCTTTTGGGAAAACATCTCTCCACTGATACACATCTACAGCATCTATTTAAATTAAGTTGCCACTGACACGTAATGTCTTTCAGATGTTTCTGCTCTCACTGTTCCAATGAACATCGGAGGATGAAGCAACACGGAGATGACACAAGGTAGAGATGAGAAGAGATAACACACACACACACACACACACACACACACACAGTCACACATGTAGGTACAGTCACAATATGTATTTGTCCTGGGTTTTGTGTGCGTGTGTACATGTAGGAAGCTCATGCGTTAATGGCTCTTGGTATTTGTTTTACATGCTTACATAAATTTTCATTGTGTGTGTGTGTGTGTGTGTGTGTGTGTGTGTGTTTGTGCCTCTTGGTTATAAACAATTAAATTTGGCACACCTTGTAAAGGTTAAAACTGATGAGGTTCCTCCATAAGAGGAATTCATGTAGGCGGATTATTTGTGTTTAGAAGAGGAAGTTGGAGCTTCAGGCTTTTCCCTCACCAGCTGGTCACACCTGCTCCACTCAGGTGGGCAGACACAAGCAAATGAGGACTTTCCCCAGTCACGCTGATGTATGAAGGAAAATATTCCACCGGGACAGACGATTGTTTCCCTTTGACATCAACATCCCTGTCGCAGCGTGATTTATTGCTCTGTGTATTTATGTTGAAATAATGAGTCTTATCATGGTGATCTGATATTGTAGGAAGAACAGAAAGTATTCATATAACTCACGACATAGTCTATTATGTGAGACTGTGGGCCAGTATAATATACAGGGTTTGTGTTGGCATCCAGCTGTTCATTTTATTTCACTTTATACTTCTACTACGCTACACTTCAGAGAGAAATCTTCATTTTTTTTTACTGCACTTTAGTTACTAACTACTTTTCAAATTATAACGACATACATTTTTTACATGCAAAACATATGAACTTAATACGATCCTAATACAATCTGTTATTGGAGTATTTTTTTGTATTATTATACGGAGTATTTTTAGTCTTTGGCAGCAGTTCCCAACCTTTTCCAACTCATGGCCCATGTGAAAATCTCAAATGTTGGCAGCCCACATCCAACCTCTTAAAAATACAGAGGCCAAATAATGCCTTCTCAGAGAACTCTTTATTTTAATTACTATCTTTCTTTTTAATTCTTCCTGTTGCTAACCAGCTATCCATTTTCATACTCCAGTTTTTGCCCAGGATGTTAGCGCACAATCAGACTAAGATAGCAAACAAGTATATATACAATGTTCCTATTATTGTTGTTTTTTCAACATTTTTTTTAAAGTTTTTAAAGATTTTTTTTATTATTATTTAAAAAGATTGTCATATTTTTCATTTCTTACTTTATAATTAAATCTTTTCACCACAATTGTACTGTTTTGCAAATGATCTGTTGGAACTACTGGTCCAGGGTTTATTTTTTTACTTTTCCTTTAGTAAAAGATCTGAATACTCCTTCCATGAAATAACTACACCTGTCAGGTTTTCCATTCTCACACAGCACGTATGCAGCTTACAGTGATAAGAGAAGCAGATTTACCATCAAAGCTTTAAGTTCTTTCTGAAACAATGGGTCCTTGATTACAGACAGAAGCAGAAGCAGCGTCCCATTTCTAGCTGGGGGCTGTGGATTTTCTGTCCATTGAAATCAGAACTGTGCACGCCAGATTTTATCATCTGTAGCCAGATATGTAATTAAGATGTTGGTTTAAAACTCTGTCTCCAGGTGACTTCTTACTGTTCTTAAATGAGCCCCATAAACGAGGTCTTTACAAGGTCTTTTTATGATGTAGTTGCTTCCTATAAATTAAAACGTCTTCCTCTCTGATTTAACCAGAGCTTATGGCGGCCATCGTGTCCTTCCAACCTGAAGTCCTACAGACGTCAGGAGCTGGCAG